ATAATTGGGCTGTAATTAATGACATCGTCGTTATTGACAGGTGAGAACCGACATCGCCGCGTGCTACGCGAGTTATTCGCCTCAACCGCGCCCCTTGATCTCGTTTCGAGCTACACTTATTTTTAGGCTTAATTGCACCAACAGCAACGACGATGTTACGGCATAATCACCGTCATGGTATCACCCGATCGAGAGATATCGCGCCAGAAATTGCAAATGTTTACGATCGCGCCTCTGAGATCGAATCATTTTTGCGGCGAGTAATTTCGTGAGGTACCGGTGCATGCAAGATAAATAATTTGAAAAAAATTTTATGATATCGCCTGTGGCGTAATGTCTCATTATATCGAGACGCTGCGAGAATTGAGATTGGCTTTTACATGACCAAGCTTGCGTAACGTGAGATACACTCGATCTGATTTTTGTCGATTTGTTCCCTCATCGAATAATTGGTACATGTGGTTTCTTTATGTATGTGATTGTACAATAAATATAACGAAAGGTTTAATTTGAGTTTTTTTTAAATATTTATTGACAATTTATTTGCGCGTTCTTGAACGAGGGTCAAAATGTGGATATATACAGACGTTTGCATGGAAAAGATTTATTTTTCAAAAAGCGCGATACACGTTACAGTGCGTATCGACGAGGGACAACGATTATAACTATCGTATATATATATATAATATATATATATAGTGTATACTTCACCTAAAATCGATTGATATCGGTAAATAACTTAGTAAATTCCGTTAATATCACAACACATTATTTCCTCAATTGATCTCGTACGCACCGAGGTTTCCCTTGCGCCTTCTCGAGGAAAACCAGCCAATTGTGCGATTTATCTGGTCAACGGATCGCTTCACATTCGCTCGATACTCGTCCTCGTAAGCGTTGAGATACAAGTTCTTGAGGAATATTTGATTATCCAGCTCGGAAGGCGGCAGAAATCGTTTCGAACGGCTCTGCTGTTGCGCCTGCAGCTCGTCGAAAGTGAACTGTTTTGATTTGGCATCGTCGATGGGCTTCGACTTCCCCGAATATTTTTGATCGTCCATGCTGGTTGATTTCACTGACAAAAGCTTCCTCTTTTGACGTGAAGCGCCAGCTTCCTCCGACGTGTTTCGTATCCGCTTGCTGCGATGTTTGGGCGCTCCGTCTTTAGCTGGAATCTCGTTGTCGAGTACAACATCGTTACTCGGGATTGTCGATGATTGATTACCGTATGACGCGGCCTTCGGCGCCGGTGACGTGCTAGATTCTACGGTTACGCTTTCTTCCGTCGAGTTCAATCTATCCTGTATGATATGTTTGAAAAATGCGTACATCTCACCAACCGTGAAAGTCGTGCCGTTCCTCACGGTAAACTTGTCGATATTCATTTTCTTGATTAATTCCTCGGTCGCGTTGCGCGCCTCCAACATCGACAGCTTCTCAGTTACGTAACTGTTGACGAACTCGTAGAAACCCTTGTAATAATTCTTCCTGTGCTTTTTCTTATCCTTTCGCTTCTCAGCATGCGACAAGCCTTTCCTCTTCGCATCTTTTCGATTCTGCTTTTCGTTCCAGCGTATAGATTTGTTATAAAATCTCATGATTCGCTCGAATTCCCTCTTCAATTTAATGAACTCCCTCTGATTACGTATCTCAAAATCCGAGCGGGCTTTGCTACCGTTACGTCGCGACTCCGCAAGGTCTACATGAAAGAAGTTCTTGCTCATTGCATTCAGTAGGTCGTGCATAGTATTGTTGCTAGAATTATTCGGTTGTTTGGCATCCATGCGCTGTAATTTTCTGTATACCATCTTGAGAAAATCAATCATTCTCTCCTCTCGTAAACGGGATTTATTGCTATGACCTGCGTGTGCTTTCCAAGTTGATGGATCGGACGCATTGGTGTTGTTCTGTTGGCTAGCAATAGATGCAAGTTTCGCGTCCGCTTTATGCTTGGAATGTTCACGGCTTCTGTTCATCTCCATATGTAGAAGTTTTTTGCCCACTTTACGGAAGAAGTCGATGAATTTTCTGAAACATTAATATTTAATTTTTATTTTTAATAATGTTTTTACATCATTTTTATTAAATACTGTTACATTTTTTCTAAAATAAAATAAACTGTATTTACTTATAAGTGTAAACTAAAATAAATATAAACCTCCCCCCTCCCTCTCTCTCTCTTTCTCTCTCTCTCTCGCTCTCGCTCCCTCTCTTTCACCCTGATTTCAATTTACTGAATTATTGATTTTATATTAATATTTATTAATATTTATTGTAAAAAAATAAATAAATTCTTACTTGTAATTTAGAGTAACGTTGTAATTCAAGGTAACATTGTCGTTGTCTACAGATCTACGTCGTCTGCTCCATCTAAGTCGGGGATGCTGTCCAAGAATACACTTGGGCAATTCCTTAGGACTCCATGCACCGCCTATGCAAGTCGCGCCAGTTGGCCCGTCATCGAGAACGTAACCCTTATCACAATCATACATAATCTGCTTGTTATTGACAATTTTCTTCACATACGGTCTATAATCGTAAACTCCCATGTTGCCGACCAGAAAAACTTTGCCATGTTCGATGAGACCGGGAAACGGGCAGAAGACTTGCTCGCAATACGGTAGATCGCCAATCCAGTTACCATAGCGACATTCCACGGATGTGGAGAGATTCAAAGGACCACCACCAATCAACTTGAAGCCGTCTTTGCACTTAAATATCGCCTTCATACCGTGATCTGTCTTCGGTGCTATTACCATCCCATTCTTCGGGCTCTTCGGCATATTCTTACATCGAGCTGGCGAACAACTTGGCACTATCGACCAAGTACCGTTATTGCATAACACCGGAGTGCTGTTGGCGGCGAATTCGTAATTCTGAATGCACGTAACCCGAAGTCTCTCGCCATGCTCCACCACCGTAACATTGTTGATGTGATCTCTCTCATCGCTGGCTACGACAACGTAACCGTTTTCGATCTGTGGGACGACGCACGGTGCTAAACATTGCGGTAAAGGGTAACGCCATTTGCCATCTTTCTGACAGACAGAGGAAGTATTACCCTCCAACTTCATGTGATCCTTACAGCGGAAGATTATGCTGGCGCCCATACCTGTGCCTACGCTTGCAATAATTCCACAAAAAAAAAGAACGATTATAATATACATATCGATCATAAATTATATTATTCGGACAATTTTAAATAACACACCGGCTTCAATATTTTCAATCCAACCGTTATATAACACGCCAGGTAAACCACAATTGATTTCCTGGCAAGTAGGCGTCTTTCCAGTCCACTTTCTGTCAGCACCGCAACGTCTAGTTCCTGCGCCTACTACAGTGTACCCGTACTTGCATTCATACGATACAATGGAATTATACGCGTAGGAGGTGTAGACAGCCTTGCCGTTGACTGGATTTTCTGGCTTCGGACATTGCACGGACGTGACCTGCACGAGATATTGAACACGTCTAGGTACGGTTTGTTTCCGAGAAAGAGTTCAAAATTTTATTCGTATTTTCTTACTTGAACGCATTGCGGTAACTCCTTCGGGGTCCATGTGCCATCCGCCAGGCACAGTTTCTCCGTTTTACCGACTAATTCGTAACCCTCCATGCAATGATACGATACGCGACAATCATACGTGTAACATTCCCCTTAAAAGTATAATTGATAATTAAAATCTCTCCCGTTCCCTACGAAAAATTAAATACATAAACCGATCATAATTACGTGAACTTACCAGAGTGCCATCCATTTGGAATGTCCGGAGGTAAATCGCAGCTTTGAGGCTTGCAAGTGATATCTGGCCCGTACCATCTAGCAGCTCCTTCCATCAGTAGACATTTCGCTTTTTTCGCTCCCGTTGCTACATATCCATGAATACAGAAATATTGCACACCACTGTCAAGATCGAAGGTCGTTTGCTCTAACGGAGCGTTGTGGCGCGCGTTTTGTATCTTTGGAGGCTGAGAGCAGAAGGAGTTGGAATCTTTCTTGCAGGAGGGATTAGACCCGGTCCAATGACCATCGGCGCGACATATTCTTTCGGACAGACCAACTATAAAATAGTCGGTGTCGCAGGCGTAATGAACTTTATCTCCAAAGTGTCTTTCGGTAACTGTCATGACGCCGTGATCAATCTCGGTTAATATCGGGCATTCACGTTCAGGCTTGATGCACGACATTCCACAGGCTCCGTCGCATCTGCATTTCTTTTTCTTACTCTTGCAGTCTTCATCGGTAGAGCACTTTCGCAAACACTTCTGGCCCATTAGCTCCGCCTGCTCTTCATCTCTTGGACATGCAGCAGAGGGTGAGTTTCGTGGGTTTTTATAGATTCGGCCATCGTCATCGATCTCGGGCTTCGTCTGATAGCTTCCGTCGTCATCATCATCCTCATCGTCATCATCCCATTCATCGTCATCATCGTCATCGTCATCGACGGCTGCTTGTTGCCGAAGCTTCGATTCCGAAGTGAGAAACTGTGCGCACAGCAGAAGCAATAAAACGATCGCGCTTGGTCTCATTCTGGCCTGAAGAAGATTTCTAAATCCCGCGAAGATTCACTGGAAATATATTAGCAATTGGACCATACGATGGATAGACCACACGACGGCACCAGGACACGACGGGACGTTTACATGACCGCTTGACAGCTCGAACTAACCCTCTTACTCGAAGACCTGCGGAGAGCCAATGCCGTGGATCTTCAGGTGCGCACGATCGTCCATCGAAGAGCACCGTTCCGGGAGTTCCGCTCAGAACACCGCGGAAGTCATCTCGAGCGACGACCGAGGACGACGTTGTTTCTCTCGCGAGCGCGACTATTAATCGAGTCCGCCTCTTCAGCGTCCGGGAGGATTAGGGACCCTCTCCGTCGGTCTCTCTCGCCGAAGTGCTCTTTCACTCCTACTGGCTCCACCTCGCTTCCTCTCGCTCTGTCCTGGATGCTTTTTTCTTTATTGTACGGACTGCGGTCCCCCGCTGACGGGAATTCGCGGATATTCGCGCATCTCGCCGTGCGCATCCAGCCTGTTCAATACATCTCCTGATTTCCCCAGCTTCCAGCAGATGGCGAGGAAACGTGCTGATAAAAGGGAGGCTGCGCAGCTACCCCGGGAACTCGGCTGAACTCGGCTTTTCATGTTCATGATGCAGGTATTCTTATGCGAGGACAATTATAGCGTACAAGCAAACATTTGCATCTCTGAATCATATTTTAAATCCTGATTAATTGCGATTTAACTGTAAATGATGAGAAAATGAATAAGAATAGGCATAAAATGCGATGCACTATCACTAATTGAAATGTAATGTTCGCCTTTACAAATCTTCTTTTCATTCAAACCTTGATCGTTAAAATTATAATCAAAGAAATCACGAATTATCCCTAAAGTGGAAAGCTTTCACTGTACTCTGCAAAAGTGAAAAACAGCAAATATTCACTGATGATTACATACAGTTATAAGTGTAGCTGATTCACTTTTAGAGAGTACCGTGTAATCAGCGGCTACTAAATTTTTATCATCACGCGTTATTCGTTATTTCAGTACAGCTTACTAAAAAAGCAAAAAAAATTCGAAGCATATCCGCAGGGTATGAAATTATTATTCACGCGAGAGGCGACATTCAGGAGAGGAGCAAGTAAAAGCGCGACGTCGCGAAAACGTTTCAGCGTCGTAAAAATTACACCGGGCGAAGGTGTTAAAACGAGCTACAGTGCTTCAAAGCAGAGAACTGTACATGCACGTATGCATATCTACCTGTGAGTGCGTTCTAAACTTCCGAGTACAAAACATATGTAATGGATATGAATTGTCTCTCTAAACGCATTCGCTTTAGCCTGTCTTTTTTTTCACATGATATGCAACAAGTATATTTTGTTTGCTCAAACGACGCCTGAAATCACATTCACCTCTAATTTCTCTTGATTTCTCATGAGGCTTTGAGAATAACGTATATTATTAAAAAATTTTTTAATTTAATGTTCGACGTCGTGACGATTTGCATAATAAAGTTACAATTTGCCTATCTTGTCGTCGAATAGCGAACGAGAAATACAAGCGTGGGCAGCAGCCGGGGGATCGGTTTTCATCGGACAAAGTCGAGTCTACCTTCCATGCTTGTTAGTCGCCATGCTACCAAGATAATCCTCGATCTCTAAACCAAGCGTCATCGTTAGAATAAGCTTATGTCGGCCATTGTCTTCGTAATGATAGCGATCAATCGGTATGATTCGACGCCCCAGCGACACTATAGATGATCCTCTCTCCAATCTCGGATATCGGCTTCATCGTTCTTGCACTGTGTCTCCAAGATGTCTTCATTTGTCTTATTCAAATGAGGCATTTTAGGGGTTAGAGGATAGGATATTATTTGAATAAAAGAAAACGATCTAAGATATGTTGAAATTAAGACTTGCTTGCGATGTATACTGCTATTTTTGTGTAAAGATATATATTTTTATTTTTAGCTTAAGAAATTAATCTAAAGTAATTCTTACATAAAATACATAGAATATATATTGTCATAAATAACCTTAATACCTTTTTAATTATAATGTTTATTTATAATTATTGTGATATAAAATTTCAGACATCTTTTTGACAAGATTGGTTCTGAACGCATTTAACGTCACGGTCATTTCCGTGTCTGGACGCATCAGATCGGATTGACAAAGTGGCAGTAACTTGGTAGCTGAAAATGGGAGTGGCTGGAAGACAAGAGGACAACTCGCTCAAAAGATATCTTCGTGGCGCCTCTATGCGACTGCAAGGAATGAAGGAGGCCAGTGGATCTCAGTCATTAGGTGAGTAATTATAAAAAATATTTTCTTTATTTTCTCATATGACACAAAATGTCTATTATTTCTTTCGTAAAAAAGATTTAAATGTAAGCACAAATCGAAGCAATGTCAAGAAGAATACAATGCATATACGTATATTTTTAAGAATACAATGTATGTATATCACATGTGAGAATCTCTGCTACAAAGTCTCTTCGAAGGATGTCCCTTTTCGTCCTCGGTGGGCGGCACACGCCTCGCCAACTTTAAGAACGAGAACCGACTATCAAAGTGTCGGTTTACAGTTGCGCGCCTACCTTACATGACGTTGCGTCCTTTCTTCGTTCGTTTCCTCTTCGAAAAGCTCGAACACTTTCGAGCAAGCCAACATTACGGAATTATTCAATCTATTAAATGATTTTTTTGCTCGGGAAAATCGAAAATATAATAAGAAACCATGATTAGCGAAGTTTCTCGTTACGAGAGCTTAAAAGTTCTGGAGAGCTTAAAAGGTTTAAGAAACACGGCCGTAAATTCGTAGTTTCGTTTTTTTTCAATTAACTTCATCTCGTCGGATGTGGAAAAGTACGGCAAAAAAAAAACGAAGCTTACGGCAAAAGCTACGCGTTTCTGCTCATTCTGCAGCTCGTTACGCGACCATTATCCCCAGTCTCGCGAATCCATTATTCTCTCTTCAGCCTCTCGAAGGTTCTTTTGCGATTCGCGCACCGTCCACATGACGCTGCGGAATAATGGTTTACGGTCGTTCCCCGACCGGCGAGAATCCCCGGACTCTGATCGCGCGCATGCATACTCGTCGGCTCACGCATAATCCGGTTGCAATCTTTCGCACTCAATCACGAAGCAAATGACGCCAGTTGGCGTTGGTCTAGAAGAGGCGAAATTACCGGAATGAAATTGATTTAAGCAGACGCCTCCGGGGAGTTTTGCAACCGGACGTTTCGGCTTATGGTCGATGATTGCCCGTCCGAGTAAGTTTCTACATTTATCATGCAAGAAAATAAAAATTCAAAGGAGTAGTAACTTTGTTTAAATAATCCATCAATTATTCCATCAATTTTCTATTTCGCATTTATATTTAATTATTAACTGCTATTATCAACTTCTGAGATTATTTAATATAAAAGTCGATTAATCGAATAGTCTCTACTATCGATTAAAATGTACAATACGTTTTAAATTATTCCATCAGAATATCAAACGTACTGCCAGTCAACGAGACTTTTACGTTTTTATCCCAGCGAGATCACTTCTTATCGTACGATAAACGTCCCAATGCAATTTCCCGTCGCCGATTGGCACTTAAACTTTCTTTAACTGCCAGCATCCACTTCGGTGAACGATCTCGAGCGCTCTCGAGCACTGCGGAGGCATCCACGTCGTCACGTTACTCATTGGATCTTTATGTGCCGGTGCGCAGCGTCCGCCGCTGACGTTCTTTGTGCGCGACGCGCTGGCTACCGAGCGCGTTCATTTGACGGATGCACCTACGCTACGCAGCTCCCTTTCACGACCTGGTACGTGCCTTAAGCTGTATTCGTCGGACCGGCTCTTACGAGGCGCGCACCGACCGAGTCCAATTCAGAAGCAATTGAATTCACAATTCCGTCCATTACGAGTGTCGGGAAAAGATTATGGACGGTGCTGCCGGGCTGTGCGTGCCGCATCTGCATCCATGCGTAGAACGGTATGCATAAATGCATACACGCCTCCGTACGTTGCATCGCATGTACGCGACGTAGCCTGTCTGTAGTGAGTTACGGGATGGCTCCTGGGATTAAAGCTCGAGCTAGACAAGTAAAGGCATCAGCGCGCCGTGCGCGGGAACGGCAAGTTGACGGGGACGGCTCGACGGTACTTAACAGGCTTATGAATAGATATTCGCGGCTCTTTTAATGATTTATTATTAAGCGACAGTTAAGACGAAACGTAACACTGCTTGGAGAGTGTAGTTGTTAACTAGATTTGCACGTGCCGCTGAAAATGTGCGTGCGTGTCTATCAAAATCTTGCGACATTGAAGTAACATCTCAGTAGACACAAATTAAAAGTAACACGATAACAATGTTATAATTTCGAATTTAACAATATAAATGTAATGTAATATATAGTATTGTATAACAATTATTGTTGAGTCCAAAATTATAATATTGAAATTGTAACGTTGATATTATGTTACTTTTAGATGGTATCGATTGAGATGGTATCTTCATTAGAGAATAAATTCTATATTTTCAGACATAATTATTTCTTTTTTCTATATTTCTATATTTCAACTTGCGAGTTATACAATTTATGCATTAATACAAAAAATACGCAAAACAACATTATATACAATTCCACATCCCATTTGGCGTAATGATCTCCCTCATTAAGAATTCGATAATACTTTACGAACGAGATCAATATTTTTTCTTGCAGTGTTCCAAATTCTGAATGCCCAAGCATTGCATATCTTGAATGCGCGCAACGAGACCGTTGTGCGAGCAGTAACAACGCGTACGAATAATATGTGCGGCAGGAGAAAGTTCTGCCTTTTGACGCACTGATTGCAGGTTTCCTTTCGCGTCTCGGTGCTTTTTGACGTTCCCGGCCGGGTCGCGGGAATCCGGGCTGCCCGTCGGTCTCCCACCCTCGCCGTCCAAAGAACTGGAGCACCGTGAAGCGTAAGATGATAGTAATTATGCACCGTCATGTAAAACATGGATTTGCACAAAGCCACCTGAAACCGAGCCGTATGCCGTGCGTACGATTATTAAGCCGTCACAACGCGGGAGGACGGCTCTTAGACCGTCTTGGGTCTTTCGCTGCTACTTTTTCTTGCCATCCCCTTTGGGGCAACCCCTCGGGAATTGCAGGGAAGTAACGCACATTTTCAAGTTGTAACATGTAATCCTCCCATTTCGCCCTGCATGCCGATAGCCTGCCAACTACGGCTTGCTTCTTTACGACCGAAGAAGCAAAAATTTCTGTAGCAATACAACCAAGTAACCACTTAACAAAAAATACAATTTGTTCCAAGTTATTGGCAAAAAAGAACTAATTAATCAAGCAAATTTGCAGTTATTATTATCACATGCAGGAACCGGTCGTCCGGTCGCGATAGATCCGTTCGCCATAATTGCGATGCGGAAGAGAGTCTCGCGTGCTCGTGTCGTCGAAAAGAGTCTCCCGTCTCCTTCCGGTCTTGGTTAAGTTCCGCATCATTGTCCCCATAATTAGCCATTCAGATTTGCTTTTCCTTGCGCGGACGCGCGTGCGGATATGACGTCGTCAATGACGGCACGTGGACGACGAACGTCGACTGGCAAAACGCAGGCTGCCACGCGAAGGTATTAACGGAAGACTGTCGATATGATAAATACAGCCGCTGCAGGTGGTTGACACTTGCGAGAGGTGATTATGACCTGTTAACAACATGATCGCACTTCAAGAAAAATTCCTTCGATCCATAGGCGGATGCTTACGTTGATGAGCGACGGAATGCTTGCTTGTAGAAAATGCATAGTAATAATTTATAGCTTCGATACACATAGTGTTGTGAAGAGTTTGCGTTAAAAGAAACGATTCCTCAATACAAACAATAAAGTAATTTGAATTTATACAAGCCTCAATTAACTCTCTGTCAGCAACATGAATTTTAACTCTTCCGTCAGTAAAAGGAATTTTCGAGAAATAGAGCAAATTTTTTATTATTCCAGATTGTATAAAAATCGAATATGATTCTGATACACTCGTCAAAACTTTAACAATGAATTTTATCATGATAAAAGTAAAATTGTATTTTGCTTATTTTATTACAGATTTAAATTTACCAACATTCATAATCCAAATATCGATGATACCTTCAAAAATCCCATGTTGCCTGTGTAAAAGATTAATCTCTAAATTATAATTATTTTATTATTTAATGATAACGTTTGGACAAATTATGTCTCTGATATAAAAGATAAAATTTCTTAGCCAATGAAATTTTTATCTCGTAACAAGTAGCTCTCTCGTTAATCGCGGCACGTGAATTTCAGCATGAAACACCGATAACCATCGGTTATTGCGGTACCGCCCTTGCCGAGATATTATGCATCGTTAATACTCATTGCGAGCCTCTGTTAACAGTCGCGGTTAATTCGCGACTGAATCGTAAAGCCGTCGCCATCCGGGATCGTGAGCTATTAACAGAGAACAGATACTGTTTGTGTTCAAGCAAAAAAATCTTAATTATTTATTTACTGCCCGTAATAAAGGTGCTAAATCGACTTCTCCGTCCTGACTAAGATCTTTGTGGCCTTTTTGCGTCGTTCCGATTCCGCGCTCGTGCGTGAGATAAAGCGGCGACGAACGCGCGATAGCGATCGATAAAGCGCCAATTATGACTTGTTAATGGAAAGCGGCGTCATTAAAGATACGCGTAAAACTTACTCGTTATTCGGCAGCGCGCGAAGGACTGCGATGTGTCCGTCGCGGTTTACAACCGGATGTAAAGTGACTCGAGGATACGATTTCCTCAGGCGATCGTAAAGACCGGAATTCCATTAAATGCGCACTGCGCCGGTGTATATAAGTAATAATAGTAATAATGTCGGAAAGGGCCGACATCGTCCTGTTCGTTCGTAAAATGCGGCATCCATGTCTCGATCTAAGATAACGCGCCGATTTTAACGCGATTTGAGAAAGTTAAATGGCACGTAATATCGCGGAAGGCTAAAATAGAATTACAAGTTTATGGTACTTACAAGATAACTTCATGAACCCAAAGTCTCCGATATGACCAAGATTTCTTTGTTATTTCCGAAAATCTTAAAAGGTGATAGCGTTTCTTCGTTTCAAAAGTAGCACGATTAAAAAAATTAATTATAAAAAAACTATTTTTGAACTTAATAGAAAAATATTGATTGATTAAAATAATATTGATAAAAAGAATATTTCATTTTTGTTTCGCATTCCTTAAAAAGCCACTTCTTTTGACAATTTTAATATCTTGCAAAATTATAACAAATCTGAAAT